TTGGTCGGATGAGCTGTTGTTTGGAAGAAAGTTGATCTGAAGCCTCAGAATAGTTGACTGGAAGTGATAGACTGAATGTCGCTAAGTTCAAGACGGTTGGCAAGGATTGAGCGTTCCTTGGCAGAAAATCGAAGGTTTCTAAGAACTGAATGGCGGTCGGAAAGTCGAAGTTCTCCTAGTTCACAAATCTAGATGCAGGCCCGGTGGGCGTTCCAGAAGGTGATCTGCAAGTTCCTTGCGTATTTATAAACTCTAATTTCTTACCTTTTTTAGTAACCTTTTAGAAGAGCATTTTATTCCGTATTTTTATTTATTTCTATCAGGTGTTAAGATATCTATTTTAAGATGAACCTTGGATATTTAATTTTAATTATTTGTTGTAGGAATATAATGACCCAACGTTAAATGTTTGTGTAAATTTAGAATGAGCTAGTATTTTTATTTCGTAAATGCCTCGTTTAGTGTGAATTAATGTAATGTTATGCATATGAAATTTAAAAGTGCTATTTATCGAAAAGTTTTATCTTGAGTATAACTATTTGGAAATTTAAAAGTGTATAAATTGAAATTTTTAGTGCATATGAAGGCATCTGGAAATGATCGGGATTGTGTTTGTAGATAATTTATAGTTATAATAAAATTTACCTTTTATTGTTAAAAGTTTCATGTACTTCATTAGTTAAGTGTCTATTTTTGAACCTGGGTAACCGTTACCAAAATTCAATTAAAAGATCACACACTGGCCAAAGTTTGAAGGGTAACGGTACAATATAAGTGTATGTACATGTGTGTGAAACTAAAATGTCTGTACATATGCACTAGATAAAATAGTATGTACATACATTTTAGTTACATTCAATTGTACGCGTACAAATACGTACAAAACGCAATACATGTAACTACGTGCAAAATTTAACATTATAAAATACATTATACTATCTACTGTAAAATATAAACATTTATAAGAATACAATAGTCTTGTAATCGTGTATTTAGATTGCATGTAGTCATGATTACATGTAATCATAATCACATGTAATCATATTTACATGTAATCAAATTGCATGTAATCATGATTTCATGTAATCATATATTTTGATTACTTGTAATCATAATTACCCGTAATCGTTTTTAATCGCAATTACTTGGAATCATGATTACAGTTGTAATCAGAATTTTGATTACAGCTGTAATCAAGATTACTAGTAATTGATTACTGTAATCAATATTGTAATCATGATTACAGCTGTAATCAAAATTTTTTGAAATTTGTAATCACGATTCCAAGTAATTGATTACTGTAATCGACTATGTAATCATGATTACAGCTGTAGTCAAAATTGTAATCACGATTGCAGTAATTGATTACTGTAATCGACTATGTAATCATGATTACAGCTGTAATCAAAATTGTAATCACGAATACAAGTAATTGATTACTGTAATTAATATTGTAATCATTACTACAGCTGTAATCAAAATGTTTGAAAATCGTAATCATGATTACAAGTAATTTATTACTGTAATCGAAAAATGTAATTGATTACATTTTTGTCCAACTCTGTATCAGATGTATGTAGTGATGGTGAGAAAAGTAAAACAAGTTTGTAAATTAAGGGAAAAAAATCTCATTTGATAATAAGTGCAGATGATCATAATTATGAAACCTGTTGAGTGATAATTTATGGTGAATTTCGGAAAATAAGTTTTAGAATGTATAGAATAATCTGAATGCTATATGCAGATCATTTTTATTCAAAGGAAACCGAGTAACTTGAATATTTTGCAACGACGGGATTTTTTCAAACAATGGATATTATATACAACATATTATTCCCAACCAAATATATTTCTATGTTTTTAAAAAGCTACTTAAATTTCAGAAATTTATCAGTTATAGAAAAAAAATTCGTTGATTGTGAAAAAAAATTGGGATTATGTGTACGTACTAATTGTAATCTCTTCCTGACCATTTGCTTTTTTTAAAGTAAACTTTTTTTTGGCCCAGTAGGCTCGACCAAAGCTGTGAAAATGTCCTACAATCTTATGCATAATTATAAATAGTTATGTGAATTTGATTACAATAAGAAATCTTCATATAAAGGATGTAAAAGCAACATAAAATCTAAAATAATGTCAAATAGAAAATTCACATGTTCAAATTTTAAAATCTTTGAAAATTATGAATAATGTGTAAATCGATTCAAATTTTACTTTCAAGGAACATTCAAACAAAACACAATCTTTGTTCCTTTGCCAGAAATCAGCTCAAAAATATTTGTTGCCTAGAAACTTCGAAATATTTTTCCTTAAAATATTATTAAACATACTTCTCCGAGCTGTCACGAAATATAAATAAGAAATATTCAGTTTTATTTCAGTTTATTACTTCCTCAAGGAGTCTTTGACTTAGGTTGAGCAGCTTTGAGGTTGGGCAGCTTCGAAGAGCAGGGTATATCGACTAGAGGTCAATTGTACCGAAACCCTAAATCATGATTAGCATGCAAGCCCTATATCTGAAATAAAATTCAACAAGTACCTTGCAGGAAAATCCTTTAGTTCCCAGGTTTTGACGCAATGCTGCTCCAAATGCTCAAATTTTTGATCAGAATAGACCTCACTATCACAAAGTATATGTAGTGATGTCTGTTCTTCAAGATGGCAACCTCGACAAAGAAAATTGGATTCAGTTCCCATTATATATATATGTCGCCTGAGGATGCAGTGATCAGTGAGAAGACTAATGATCTTCCTTAAACTGTTTCTAAAAGCTCTTTTGACGTACACTAGGACATTCACGATTCATCTCCTTAGCTTGGCCCTGACCACCAGCAACGCGCCATTTCTCATGGGCAATTTTGCCATAGAGCTTGAATATAGATGCCCTAAAAGAGGTGGGAGAAATTCCCAGTGCAGGTTCAGGGCCCTAGAAAAATGCATTAGAGCCAGCCCGTGCTGCTTTATCAGTTAGCTCATTTCCGAGAATACCCATATGTCCAGGTATCCAATGCAGGTATATCCTGTTATGGGTAGATAGCTCACAGAGGACCAAAAAGCATTCCCTTACAAGCAAAAAGGTGAATTTACACTTTGACAGTGATAAGAGAGCAGCCTGACTATCAAACCAGATGCGGATAGTCGTATTTTGATATTTCCTGTCTAAGCATATCTTGCAGCACAAGATATAGTTTAAAGTCATAATTATACAGTACAGCAATTTTACCAGAATTCTTTTCTTCGTTTAGACTGCGTCAAAATCACTATTATTAAAAAAATGCGATTTCTCAAGAACTATTTGATTGATTTTGCTCAGATTTCGTAATATTACTTTCTTTAAAATAATGCAAAAATTTTAAATATTTTATTTGAATTTTTTTCGACAGTTATTAAATAACAGAATAAAAAGTAATATACATTTATTAAAAGTTATTTTTTGCATGGAATTATCTTGAAACAAACGACTTTTCAAATTGTGCTTAAAAATATTTTCGAAGTACGTAAGTAAAAACCAAAATTTGAAAGAGTCTAAACTTTGAACCACTATCGCAAAAATATTTATAAATTGCAGTTAAACCCTATATTTTGGAGACTTAAAATCAAAATCTCTAACAAAAAAGAAAGTTTATTCAGAGAAAATACGTTTCTTTGTCAGATTTTGAAACTTAAAATATCATGTGCACTTCGTTTGAACCTATTGAATCATTTTGAGGTCCATTAGTCCAACCATTATGCATTATTTTTTGCTCAATATACAATTATTAAATTAATTCTTACAAATGGATCGAAATTTCTGATTGATATAATAAAGTAGCAAATCATTCACTTTAAGTAAGAAAATGTGTCTATAAATTTTTAGATTAAATTTGTACATTAAAAATTGTTTCGACCAATCATTATCTCTCTAGAAAAAAGGAATATGAACTGTACTGTACAAAAACCTATTTTTAGTATCTGTACTTGTCTTTTTGAAAATGGCAGTATTAATTGTTCACTCTTTGTAAAAAAAAAACGGATTGCTCTGACTGTTAACAAAATTTATATGTATTAAATAATTTCAACTACAGTACGAAAAACTGAAAAAACTCGAGAATTTTAATCTTTACTAAATATATATTAAATTAAGAAAAATCTATTGTGTAACTATCTTAACATACTCTTTCGTTTAACGGCCCAGTGCCATTGTTTTCATTCCAAAGACTCAAATAATCTGTGCAGTTTGTGCTGTAGGGAAAAGGAAGTCGGATGTCTTCTCTCTGAAAAAAAGAAATATATTTGTCTGTACTTTTTTCCCTTTAATGAATGCATCATAAAATCAAATACTTATAAAAAATACGGTTTTTGATGCTGACTTCTGATAAGAGAAACGTTCGGTAGTCATTCATTTTTTATTTTTTCTCTTTATTTTCTTTAAATGAAAAGAATTTATTCTAATGTTCAAATTCATTCCATATTAATTCTAATATTTTATTCCAATAAGTATATGCTTTAATTTAAAACTTGATTTTGATTTTTAACAAAAAAGAAAAAAAATCCTTTTCAGCAAAATTGTTAAAAACAGAATACCGTTTTCCTTTGCTAGAAAACACCACGAGATGGCGCCACTAGATTTGGAACTTTCTAAGAACAACAATTTTTTAGTTAGTTTGATTATGTTACTGTCGTTGGAGAGATCGTGTTGTTTTTGTAGTGTTTAGTGCTGTTAATATAAACATGTTAACCATTTCGTAGGAGTACTTTTATTGAGTTTGTGGTCACTGATTTGATTTATTTAGGTACGTACCGACCCGGGTAGAAGAACAAGGTAAGAAACCCTTTTATTGATACCTGTTCTAATGAAGTAGATAAAGAAATAAGTTATCTTTTTTAACATGGCATCCCAGCCGGCACTATCGGTTCGTATTTTAATAAAATAAGAACTATTATTATAAATTTGATTTATAGTGTTATAAAAATAAATGGACACTGGAATTGAAAATACTTGGAATAATAATAGCTCTAAAATGGCCACAAACATTGAGCTCCTTAAAAAGAAACGCACTACATTAAGAACATCAGTTACTAAGCTAATTTCAAAGATAGAATCAGAAATTCAAAAAAACGAAATAACTGATGAAGAAACCGAAATTGAACTAATTATTGAACAATTAAATGATAAATTCGAGTCTCTCAAAACAGTTGATTCTGAATTAGAAAATCTGTTTAAACCAGAGGATTTAGATAAAGAATTAGAAACTGCAGAAGAATACCGTGAAAAGACAGTAACGTGGAGATTTAAAGCTAATAAATATTTGCATAATTTGAATCAAAAGAAAAATATTCGGGAACCTCTCAATTTTCCCCAACATATAGCTCCTACTACTAATCGCGAAGTGGAAGTAGTAACGAAACCAGAAATGCTGAATATAAAATTACCGAAGATAGTAATCCCGAAATTTTCGGGAAATATAAGTGATTGGCTTACTTTCTGGAACTCTTTCGAAACATCGATACATAAGAACAAATCGTTAGATGATGTCAATAAATTTAACTATTTAAAAGCTCATCTATGTGGAACAGCTTTAGAAACGATAGGAGGTTTTGCTATTATTTCCTCAGAAAATTATGTTAAAGCTATTGATTTGCTAGAACAGCGCTTCGGAAGAAAATAAACATTGATAAACAACCACATGAGTCAATTATTAGAAATTACCCCTTTAAAGCGTTCTGGTGATGTAAAAAATTTTCGGCAATTATTTGATAAAATACAAATCCATATAAGAAGTTTAGAATCGTTAGGTATTTCATCAGATACTTTTAGTACTTTATTATCCCCCGTAATACTTAAGTCAATCCCAAACGATTTAATATTTGAATTTAATAAAGAATTCGGAGAAAAATATTCTTTAACTGATTTGATTAATTTTTTGAATAAGCAGTTGATAGCAAAATAGAAGACTGATTTAATGAGAGTGAAAGAAAAACAAAATTCGCCGCCGTATCCGAATATTAATGAAGGTAGTTGGCGTCACCACAAAAGGGGGGAGCGGGAAGTGAAATATGATCGCGAAGGAAATCCTACTGCCAATGAATTATTTGTTTATGATTCTACTTCTAAAGCAAGGTCGTGTCCGTTTTGCGGTGAGTTAAATTGTTCTGGTTTAAATTGTGAATATGGAAAAAGTTTATCCTTAGATAAAAGCAAATCAATTTTATTAAAAAAGGGCATTTGTTTTAGATGTCTCGGGAAAATCACATGAGCTCAATGTGCAGGGAAAAGGTTAAATGCTCTCATTGCAATAAAAAACACGTTGAAATTATGTGTTTTCAGGATAATAAATATTCAAAAAATGAAAAACCAGAAATAATAGAAAATACTACACTTTCGAATAATAACTGTTCGCGGGAAGTTTATCTTCAAACTTTAATAGTATGCATTAAAGAAAATAATTTGAAACAGTTAATAAGGGTAATAATCGATCAAGGTAGTCAGAGATCGTATGTCACAAAATTTGTTGCTGGAAAAATGGGTTTAAAAGGGTCCGGGAAAGAATCCGTGAATCATGGATTATTCGGTGGAATTGAACATACTGAAATACATCAAAAATATTGTCTAAACTTATTAAATGTTGATGGAAGCTATAATTGTGAGTTAGAGGTTTTAGATGAGAAAAAGATTTGTGCTTCCGTACCCAAAATGAATGATGCATATTGTTTAAACGAATTAAAAGATCTGGGTATTTATATTAGTGATACGATGATTAATGATAGGTCCTGTTTATATGAAAGAGATTCTGGCGAGATTCATTTGTTCATTGGAGCTGACTACGCTGGAAAGATATTGACAGGAAAAGTAAAACACCTTAAGGGAGGTTTGGTTGCTGTACATACTTAGTTAGGGTGGACAGTAATGGGTAAATCTGAGGTAGAGGGAACATCTACAACTAGCTCAATGTTATTGTCATTGCATGTAAATAATGCAAAAATTGAAGATCTCTGGAATTTAGATACCTTGGGTATTAAAGATAGTAGTGAAAAACGCTCTAAAACACAAACCCAAGAACTTGCTTTGAAACATTTCAGAGAAACGGTTGGTAGAGACAGTACGGGCCGATATACGGCTAATTTACCCTGGTTAGATGGTCATCCTCCTTTACCCGATAATAAAGAGTTGACTTAATCAGCGAATCGGTTAAATGATTATCAAGAGGTTTTTAACCAATGGGAAAAAGAATGTATAATAGAGCAAGTTAATGAGGGTAATGATTATTCTAAAAGCTTTGGAATACATTATTTGCCATATAGGGCAATTTTTAAAGATAATTCAACCTTTAAAGTACGTCCTATTTTGACGGATCAGCTGAAACCAAAAACTCCGTATCAATAAATGAATGCATAGAAAAGGGCCCAAATCTCATAGAAATTATCCCAGCTGTATTAAATAGGTTTAGATGGGGAAAGATCGGAGTAATATCGGATGTCAAACAGGCATTTTTACAAATATCTCTTAACGAATCTGATGGGGATTGTTTACGATTCATGTGGTTGAAAGACGGAGATCCTCAAAAGATAATTACATATAGACATTGTAGAGTAGTATTCGGAATGTCATGTAGCCCCTTCTTACTTGCGGCTGTTCTGAATCATGTATTAGATCAGGTAGAAGAGCCATTGAAAAGTCTTGCAGTGAAGATCAAAGACTCTATGTATGTTGATAATTGCATTGCAAGTGTAGACTCAGCTTCAGAATTGGAATATTTTAGATCTGAATCTCAGAGAATTTTAAAAGCTGCTAAATTTGATTTACGTGGCTATGAAAATAACTACCTACTTGAAATGAACGAATTTGTGCAAGATAATTCCATCTGTGAAAAGGAAGTGTCCGTATTAGGCCTAAAATGGGACAAGCAAAATGACACTTTATCCTGTGAGCTGGTTAAAGAAGAAAACAATAGTAAACCAGTTACCAAGAGAAAAATCCTATCTATGGCACACCAGCTGTTCGATCCTATAGGGTTCACTTGTCCTATAACGTTGATCCCGAAACTTCTTCTACAAGAATGCTGGAAGATTGGAATTTCTTGGGATTCAAAATTGCCCGACGAAATAATTAAGAGATTCGAAAAATGGAAAGAAGAATTAAAAGAATTGAGCAACTTCAAAATTTCTCGTAGACTTTCAAACTTAAATCTTTCTAAATCAAGCTTAACACTTCATATCTTTTGTGACGCTTCCATGGTGGCATATCCGACTTGCATCTTTTTGAGGGCGGAAAGGAATAGAAAAGTTACTTGCCAACTTATTCAAGAAAGATCTAGAGTTGCCCCATTGAAAAAAGTGTCAATACCAAGATTAGAATTACTTGCATGTAACATTGGAGCTAGATTGGCTGATACAGTAAAAAAGGATTTAAGATTGGAAGATATTGAAACATTTTTCTGGAGCGACTCCATGGACGCTCTTTATTGGATAAGGAAAGAAGGCCCTTGGACGATTTTCGTATCCAATCGAGTTGACGAAATTAGAAGACTTTCAAAAGCCAGTGACTGGAAGTTTGTTCCGGGAACCCAAAATCCAGCGGATTTGCCTTCAAGAGGTTGCACAGTTAAAACCCTATTGAAGAGACAATGGCACGAAGGAACATCTTGGCTTAAAGAATCAAGAGAAAACTGGCCTAATTTTGATCGAGTTCCTGATGAAAAAATAGTGTATGCCAAGAAGAAGAAAATCATTTTATCATCTTCAAATATAAAAGATGACGAATTTTACAACATATCATCCTACAAGAAAATAATCAGAATTACAGGCTGGATATATAGATTTTTTGAAAATTTCAGAGCAAGCAGTAAGAAAACAGGAAAATTATCTGTAGAAGAGTTTATTAAAGCTGAACTCAAAATCTTGAAAAGGGTTCAAGAAGACTCATTCCAAGGCAAAAAATTGAAGAGTCTGAAACTCCTGTCAATATTTACAGACGCTAATGGACTTGTGAGAATTAAAACAAAAATCATTATGCGAGAAGACAATGAAAACTTTAAAGTTCCAATTATTTTACCATCTGATCATCATGTTGTTAAGAGCCTTATTTTACACAAACACCAAGAACTTGGACATCCTGGAGTACAATCTTTAATGGTAGCTCTGAGAGAAGATTATTGGATATTAAAAGCTAGAAGAACTGTAAAAAAGGTACTGAAAACCTGCATAACTTGTCAACGATTTAATGTGAAAAGACCTGAAATACCAGAAGGAATACTCCCGGAGGACAGAGTAAAAAACGCCTCAATTTTTGAAGTTATAGGAGTGGATGTTGCTGGACCGTTGCTTACGAAGGACAACAAGAAAGTGTGGATCGCAATTTTCACCTGTGCGATTTATAGGGCAGTACACTTAGAACTATTGACATCACTTTCAACAGATAATTTCATACTTGCCTTAAGAAGATTTATCGCACGCAGAGGACGTCCGTCAATTATCTACTCCGACAATGGGACTAATTTTATTGGGACTAACAACTCTCTGAAGAATATCAACCTAGAAAGACTAAAGACAACATTTTCTCCAATTTTATGGAGATTCCTACCTTCGACTGCTCCGTGATGGGGAGGATTTTTTGAGAGGTTAGTAGGACTTTTGAAAAGAATTTTGAGGAAGGTCCTAGGTCATACATCCTTAAATTACCAGGAAATTGAAACTGTTTTGTGTGATTGTGAAAGTCAACTCAATTCAAGACCCTTAACATATGTTAGCGATGATCCCGATGATTTATGTCCTTTAACACCTAATTTATTCCTGAAAGACACTCGTACTAGTAGTACTACGGTCTTGGATAGATTAAAGCTAACTGACAAGACGGAATTAAGCAAAAGACTTGTGTATAGAAGAAGACTGATGACAGATTTACGAGCAAGATTCCGTAGTGAATATCTGAGTCAGCTACATCATAGACTGACAGTTCGAAAGACAACATACCATCCTAAAGTTGGAGATATCATCTTGATTTGGAATGATAATCACAAAAAAATACATTGGCCCTTGGGAAGAATACTCTCAGTTTACTCTAGTAAAGATGGACTGATCAGAAGAGCCAAAGTTAAGACCAAATCCGGAATTCTGATCAGACCAATTGAAAATCTCTGCCCATTAGAACTGGACGAGGAGAATCTCAACAGCGAAGATCAGCTGCCAGAGACTTCTAAAGATGAGCCAGAAAGAACATCATCGGACATTCCTGATTCAGTTCCTGCTACTACCAGAGTTGGACGTGTTGTTCTCCCACCATCCAGATTTGGACAATGAAGTATTGAGATTCGGTTCAACATGCCCCGAAACTCAAAAAGGGGAGTGTTAAAAACAGAATACCGTTTTCCTTTGCTAGAAAACACCACGAGATGGCGCCATGAGATTTGGAACTCTCTAAGAACAACAATTTTTTAGTTAGTTTGATTATGTTACTGTCGTTGGAGAGATCATGTTGTTTTTGTAGTGTTTAGGGCTGTTAATATACACATGTTAACCATTTCGTAGGAGTACTTTTATTGAGTTTGTGGTCACTGATTTGATTTATTTAGGTACGTATCGACCCGGGTAGAGGAACAAGGTAAGAAACCCTTTTATTGATACCTGTTCTAATGAAGTAGATAAAGAAATAAGTTATCTTTTTTAACAAAAATAATCTTGCAAATTCAATCAGTTCTTGAAATTTGGAGTTAAATTTTTAAACTATTGAGGGAAAAAAACCTAATCATAAAAAGAGCAAAGATAATTTATTCAAAAAACATAGTATAAAGCTACGAATTTATAGATTCCTAGACACCATCTTTGTCAGTTTCATTAACGTTAGCAGTATCGTCATTCAAATACCACTGTGCAATCAATGGATCCTACTTTAACCTCTTGCTCTGAATCCGGCAAAAATCTTCTTCATCCACATTCCACACTATTTCTCTTTAACATTTTAATCCACATTTTACCACGTGTCAAATATCATTTGACACTTGACGTCTAGGGGTGTAGAGCTGATATTTCCCTTCTCCATTTCTCTCCATTTCTAAGCCATTTCTCCTTCTATCAACCATATTCATTCAACGACGATTGATTTAAAAGTTTTCGTATTTGCTTGTTTTTTTTTAGTTCTAGACTAACGAACCCTGTACAAGGACATGCAAGGACTTTTGCTATCTCTTATTCAAATAAATGGGGTAGGCCTATGCAACGGATGACTTATGCACCAAGATTTTCGGTGACTTAAAATCAACGGTAATTGAATTAAAAACAAAAACATTTCATGTTCTAAGAAACAAAATCTTTTATTTTCTTCATACAAATAAAGTTTTTTCCTTCTAGAATGTAATACAAGAACTTTTCAAGTTGAGAACAGCACATAATTATGTAAAGACTTAAGGTGCCCTGAAAATTTCTCTTTCAAAATTCATTATTGAGGGGAGATTAGAACTAAACCAGTTTAAAAAGATGAATCCGAAAGATTTTATTAATAACCCTTTTCTCCACTTTTAGTTTTAACTGCCTTACGCTAAAATCTTATATTAATAATCAAGGTAATTTTGACTGAAGTGTTTTTTTTAATAATTGACTTAGTAATTTAATTTGTATGAATATTATAGAATAATCTAAAAATGTTATCTAGATTATGGATGAAGGGTGATGATTGAAAAACACCTTAAGTAATTTTTATGTAGCGTCAATTAAATCATTTTTTATATTTCGGGAAAGTACTCTATTGCTTTTATATGATAATCACATGCATTCATAAAACCCAAAAGCATAACTCTGGCAGGAACATTGAAATAATTATAATTTCTCAATAAAACTCATATATTAAAGATAATAAGTTGAAAATTTTAAATAATTTACTTGCCATGGAGACAAATATTTTATAATTATGTCCTGTTTTAAGAGCAATTCCTTTCTGGCATGGATTTACTAGATGTCGACGATTATGAACCACTCCGAAGACTGCAATTTCATCAGTAGGAGGGAAGTAATCTTCGCCATTCACATTAAGGAGAATATCATATACTAAAATGATAGAAACGAGTTTTAAATTATGTTGAAGAAAACCTTCAAAATTGAAAAAGAAAAACTTTCTATCAGTTTGTTAATGCTTGTTGTCATACGTTTTTTGCAGCCTCGAGTCATAATTTTCTTTTAATTCATACCAATAGTTCTACTTTATCTCCGTAAAGAAATTTACCGACAGTGCTCAAGTCAATTGACAAAAGGAGTTAATTTTTTTTTTTTTTTTTTTTTTTTTTTTTTTTTTTTTTTTTTTTTTTTGTAAATTTAAAATTTTGTTCTACCACAAGCTTAGCTTAAGTGTTTCGTAAGGAAAAGTTAACACCCTAAATAACTCTTGATTTAACGATTGAATTTTTAAATAATAAGATTCATTCTCAATGGTTTCGGAACGTAACCTTATATATGCTAACTAAATAGTGTAGATTATCTTTAAAATTATGAAAACAGTAAAAAAAAAAACACTTTCCTCTTTCTTAGATGGATTCCTGACCCTTAAATTATGAGAAGGTAGTAGCCACAATATGAAAGATATGACTCCAACAGCTTAGAAAGGAGAGCTCCTAAATTTTATTTTATAATAATTTATGCTTGCTTTGTCTTTTTTCGACACTTTTTAAAGTGAATTCCAAAATTTTTGCACGCATACGCGTTTTTTTTTTAATTGTAAGGCAACTCTTATACAAAGATAAATACGGTTTCATTAGAAACATTTCCTAGATTTATTATGAAGTCCTTTGTTTTATGTTTTCTTTTCCGATTCCGGAGACTTCGATAGTGTTTTTATTTCCTCTGTGTTTAAATATTACATTGTAGTCTCACATATGATTACGTTTTAACTTATTTTTCGATAGCTTGTCTAAATATATATATAAAAAACGGTCATTACGGAATTACTTTCATTTAAGAATGTCAAAATGTTTTCGTTTCAACTTTTTTTTAAAATTTATTCAGAAGATGCCTGTTGTATCTCCAGACCTAATTGGTCTTGAAATTTAGCCATCTGCTACGAGTAATAATTTTAGCCCGTTACCATAAAAATCTTTCAAAAATATTAAAGATGCTATATAAAGGTTTTTGTTCGCATTTGTCTTGTTAGAAGTAAAACTCTATATAATTCTGCTCACGATTTTATTGCTCGTTCATTATTGTTTAATTATTTTTAAGATGCAATATATTTTAAGGCAAACTTTACATAAAATGAACATAATATTAAGACAATGAACTGAAAATAGATCAATTTGTTTCTTTTAAGATATACTCTATGTTTCATTTCTTATATTTCTTGCAAAACTATACAAAAAAATGTTTTTTTTAAAAATTATTCCAAAATCGGTACGTTGTTTCTTTTTTTTTTTACTGATATTATGACAAATTGGTTTAGACACCGTTAAGAACTACTTTATTCTAGAGTAGGATTTGTGAGAGTGTTAGGTGGGAACAACTATAAGAAAATATCTCTTAAACTTTAAAGTTAACTGATACTTGCCTAGACTGTTTGAATAAATATCATCTTTTGAAAACGGCTTGTTTATTTGGGAGTCAGTCGTGTAGCAAAATATTGGACGGTATCTTCGTGAGACCATAGGAAAACGAGTAACGCTAAAAAGTAATATTTTAATAGATTAATAATTTGCAATAAGGACGAAATTTTAAATAAATAGATTTCATTCATTGATTTGCATATTCATTATGAATCATTGATTTCATTATGATACGAGACATCATTATGATACGAGATATATTTTCACTCCGATTGATTCGCTTTCCTTTTTCTATTCATTACACGACTCAATAGTTTCCCACTCTCTACACCAGAGGTCGCCAAAGTGGTCTATATAGACCCCCAAGGGTCTATTTAACAAAAGCAGGAGTCGATCTGAGATAGGGGGGCGAATGGGGGTCGATCCGAATCGGAAGGGTCAATTGTGGGTCGAAAAAAGAAACAGTTCTCAATACGCAAATCACACATACCTAATTAAGTATGTAAAATTTGTGAATTTTTTTTATAATTGACTCAATATCAGTTTCTTTATAAAACATAAATTAATAAACGTATATTTATTGGGGTGAAACAAGTATGTACGTACCACCGCGCAGTGGCACGAACTCAGCGCAGTTTATAAGTCATATGCATATATGCGCTTGTCCAAATGTCACGTGTGACGAGCATTGACGTTACAAATGCAAATATCATACGCAGTTTCAACTATCTTTGCAAACTGTGTTGAATATTTGCAGTGTCATTATTAAAACTTTTATAGTTTTGGATAATTAGTTATTGTTTCGATAAAACCATTCGTTTGGTTTAGATATCAATTTTAATTATCAATGCACAAAAAAGAAGGTAAGCATTAATAATATGGATTAGTACAGCCCGCGACAAAACTATAGCACACTTTGTATTTTTTTACGAAAATTACAAAATTGACCAATTTTGACGAAAATTAAAATTGACCAATTTTGAACCCAATATAGCGAACCTTGCAAAAAAACACCAGGCCCACCCATCTTATTGATCAAGAAGCAGTAAATCTTTAGTTACTTTACTTATTATATCTACTTATGCATAATTACTTATTATTTAATAATAAGGTATTTAAATTTCAATATTAATATATTTTTCATAAAACTATTGTTACATAATGTACTATTACTTTAATAAATGTTTAAAATCATAAAATAAATGTACAAACACAGTATCTAATAGAGTTTTATTTTAATTAACAGAAAATTACTTTTGCGGGGGTCGATGGAGATTTCGAAAAATTATATAGGGGTCGATAATCAAAAAAGTTTGGCGACCCCTGCTCTACACTAATAAAATGCGAGCTTAAATAACCGTACAAAATACTAGCAACCTTAGTAGAGTGTCCGCAATATCTACCAAACGGTAAAATCCATTTTTACGGAAATATTTTGCACCGTATATTTCACAGTAAATAAAATCCCTGTAAGAAATACTATATATGACTATAAAAATTAGGGTGTAAAATTTCTACGGTAAAAAATTATATTACGGTAATCAACTGGCACCCTGGGAGCTGGTACATTTTCTCATAATTTTTACAGTGTATACCAGAATTCTTTACTTTGTATATCAAGAAATATTATACAATCTTGCATACTAAATAAAATGTTAAAGTTGACCTATTAACGAAAGCATTAGTAGAATGCAATTTTCTAGTTTAATAGTGCTTGTTTAACATTCAATATCGACCGAACAGGGCGAAAAGATGATATATAAAGTTATATTTAATAAT